TCACCAGGAGCTGCCTGTTTGGGGCCCAGGGGCTGCCTCATGTGTGGGCAGCACCAACATCACCCATGCTGCACAGCTTTCTACCCACACCCGTGGAAGGATATTTATTTTTGCTTGTTTTTATTGCAGTGACATCGTTTACAACACTAGAAATGTTGCATATAGTTAGGCTCACACCTCCTCAGATGTATGTCACCACACCCGCCAAGGTGCCCAGAGTCCTCCACCCTAGTCTATTGCCCCCTCCTGCTTTTGCTGTCCACCCTCCCCCTTTAGAAAAATATTTGTTTCCTCTGTGTCTTAGAGGTTGCCAGGAAAAGAGAAATGTGTGTCTTCACCCAAAAAAAGGGTTTTGGGGGTGTTTGTGGTGACCTTGGTTAGACTGAAGTCTTTTGATAAGGATAGAAGAATTCCAGGGAAGAGGGACTTCCTCTTCCTCCGCCAGGAAGCCTGCCCTCCCTGCTTACCCACTGCTGAGACGAGGATCTAGGGGTGAGCAGCACATCTGGAGGAGACCCCAAGAAGTATAAGGGGAAAAAAGTATAGGGAAGTGAGACCAGGGAGGGAACAAGCTAATACAGGTGGGTTGCCACTAATGGGCAGCTGGGGCTCAGTCCTTCTGGGGACCCCAGAGGGACTGTGTGGAGCACTCCTCAAAATTGGTCCACTGAGGTGTGAGGGAACAAGGTGCTCTTCCACCAATGCCCAGCCCTCATAGGTGGAAGGCTACTCTGGGGGAGCATTAATGCCACTCCCCAGGAAACTTCCCATATGAGCACCCAGCATACTCAGGAAGCCAGAAAATGCCCGCAGGCTGAGGATGTAAGCACCGGGACCAGTGGTGCCGGATGGTTGACCCAGTCCTCCCACACCCTCTGGGGCTGACTGAGGAACCTGGACAGGGTGTTAGTGCTTTTCTACAACTCCTCCCAGGACTGTGTGCTCCCCGCAGGCAGGGCCTGGGCTGGACTGCGGGCCTCCAGCTGCGTGAATGGATTGGAGAGCAGGGTTGAGAAGCAAGCAGTGACTCCAGGGCGTACTCTCCTGAAGAAGGCAGGGAGCTAGGAGTGGCCTGGACCAGACTTGCCAGGTCCTAGGGTCACAGGGATTCATCACATGCTGCCATGTCTTCCTGATACCACCACCAACAGCATCCGTCACCAGGCTGGAGGCAGCACCGGGCAGGAAAGGCCCTCCCTCCCCAGCTCTTTCTGCCTCCACTTCCTGCCTTAGAAGTGCAGGACCTTCCTGGTGGCACAAGGGGTTAAGACACAATCTATGAAGCTGTCAGCAGCCACTGTAGCACGAGTTCGATCCCTGGCCAGAGAGCACCCACATAGTGCAGCAGACCTCTCCTGACTTGTCCGCTGCTCCCCTCAGCAGTGTATTTCAGTCAGTCTGCCTGTTCTGCTCCCCATTCTGTCTCTGGTGAATACTCTCACCCCACTGGCCTATACCCCAGCTCTTGTATACATAAATAAATAAATCTTAAAAAAAAAAAAAAAAGCGGGCACTCCTAGCCCCATTCCACCATAGAGGGTGGTAACATAAAAGGAAATGTGAGACGACTTTGCAAAGTCTAAGTGGCTAGCCAGGCCCGAAGCTTCCCCAGAGAAGTGGACTTTATGCCCAAGGTGAGCAGGGTTGGGCTCATTTCACTCCGTCACCTCGCTGATGCCCAGCATCTGACTTACGTGGCCACTGTATTGGTACTTGCTGGATAAACAAATTTCCTCCCTCCCTTCCCAGTGCATGGGCATCCCTGGGTGCCTCTCAGGGAGAGAGGCCTGTGTCCGGGTCAGTCTGACACTGGCAAACATCCTGACAGGCTTTGGAAAGGTCCAGGCACCTTCCTGCCAGGCTGGTGCCCTCCATGCCTGGCCAGCCCCAGCACTGGCCTCGGACATCCCACCAGCTCACGTGCGTGGGGCTTTTCCTGCTCCCAGGCCAGGCCTGCTTTGGCAGATAAAATATTGATCAGCCCGCTGAGGAGCCCAGAGTGTGATCCTATTTTCATGTCAGAAGTTGGTAATGAACTACATTTATCAAGACGGTGCTCCATGAGAAAGGTCAGCCGCAGATCTGGCTAAGTTGTTATGACACCTCATTAATCTAGCTCCCTCTGTAATTGTCCCTCTTTGGAGATTCTAATGTTCTCCCATCCCAGCCACACTCCCTCCACGCCGAGGGAGATGATTATAGCAGGAGCACAGGCACATCCGCATTTAATTTTTTGAGCAGAGAGATAGGAAGCAGGTAGCAGTCTCTGGAATTAAATGTCCATCAAAGGAACACTTTCTATTGCAAAACAAAGGGAAGAAGGGAGACACCGTGACTATTCATTCCATCAGCCAGATGCCCCGCAAGACCTTGCCTCAAAGGGACGTCTTCACTCTGTGGCAAGCGAAGCTTCCAATCCCACTGTGGGTGGGTGGGGACTCTACAGAGTCAAGTGGAAGGGGGTGTTACAATGTGGGCAGGTGAGAGAAATGCTGGAGAGCGGGAAGCTCAGACTCTGAGCTGGAGGCCTGGATCCTGGATACAGGAGGTGCTTGGAGGCAGGCGAGGGGAGGCAGGAGAGGGGACATCTGCCCCAGGAAGGGAGGGGCCCAGCTCTGCCTACCCCTCTACCCTGCACCCCAGCCATTCCTGCACTGAGCTGGAGGGCCCTGTGGCTGCGCCCTTTCGCGCCTGCATTTCCCTGGCCTCACTCTCTGTGACTTATCCATCCACTGCTGGCCTCTAGCCGCCCCATTGCACTGCACACCCCTCTTGGCCAGGACTTGCCTTGTTGCAGGTGCCCGGCACCTGCATTCCTTCCTGATCAGGAGGTGGGTGCGAGGCTGTTGCCAGGGTAGAGAAGCAGGAGGCCTGTGCCCTCACAGTGAACTGTAGGGATGTGGTAACAGGGCCAGAGCTGGGGGTTGGCTGCAGCCCACCCATATGTCCCCTCCACGGTGTCCCTGGCCTGCCAGCATGGGAGGTACTGTCTGGCTTCAGACTTCTGGCCCGGAACAGCTGGCAGCTCTGAGATCCATGCCCCACCAAGGTCCTGGAGGAAGGTTGGGAAGGTTGGGTGGGTGCAGTGATACTGAAGCGCCTCTGCCCCTCTGCCCCAGCCCTGCTGTGTTGTGTTCCCGGGAGCCAGCTGTCCACTGGCATTTCTGGATTGAGCCTCCTAGTGACCCATGTGCTATGTCCACCGCCTTGTGGCATCTGGGCACAAATACCTGCCCCAGGAGAGCCTGTCAGACCCCGCAACGACTCCCCTCACCATCACCCCACAGCTTCCATCTCCTCCCTGCATCCCAGTTCCTGTCCTTTTGCCAGGACCCGTTTCACCTTGTTGGGACTGGGTGTGGGGAGAAGAGAGGCAAGATTTGGACAAAGCTAATCTTCTCCTTTCCTAAAACTAACCCTTATCTAGACTCAGAAATAAGAAGCCCCCAGAGGCAGCCTCATCTTCCCCTAGGCTGGACCTGCTTGGGGCGAGACTAGGCACTATTTTCAACACTGTGCAGATGTACCGACTTGAGAATCGGGTTTCCCGGCTGGTGGCCCTACGTGCTCCCGGGAAGCACACCCCACAGGCCAATGAGAAGGCAAGCACGTTTGGGGGATGGAGAGCCAGTCTTGCAAGAGCCTGGAGACTCCCAGAGAGCAAATAGATTTGATTATATTGAACACAGCAATTGATTTTTTTCTAAGTAAACATGCAGGAGGAAATGGTCGCGGCATCTGTTTCTGACGAGAATCAATTGACCCCAAATTGAAAGAAAATCTGGAAACAAAAACAACCACAAGAGAAAGTGGCGAGGCTGTCCAGGCTCATCTGGTGAGGGAGGGCGGGAAACAGACATCCCCACCCAGTAACCTCTTCAGCAAATATGGTTCCAATCATGAAAAATGGGCACATAGCCGTCATTCCTTGAGCCTTTACTCGGTGCCAAGCCAGTCCCAAGCCCCTCGGTGCACAGCTTATTTAACCCCGGAGCAGCCCTGTTCTCCCCACTTCTCAGACGAAAGCACTGAGGCCAGGTCCCAGGTCACACATTCAGGCAGCGGCAGAGCTGGGACTCAAACCCAGTGGACTCTGGGACCTGTGCTCTCTGGTGCTGCTTTCTGGTGAGTCTGCAACCCTGAGCTATTGCCTGGTGCCTGAACTGGCCCTGAAACTAAGAGGAAGAGCCCCAGGCCTGGACAGTTCATTCCAGCAGCCTTTCAGCCTTCAACCTGGAGTGGAGCCATGTCCATTCCAGCCAAGCCAGTGCAAGAAGCACCCCACCCTCAGGGAGCCGGAGAGGTTGCTGGGGGGCCCAGCCTGCCTGCTCACAGCCCGCAGCCTCAGCCAACAGACTGAGTCCTGTATGTGACACAAGATAAACTGTGTCACATCATAGTGCATCACAGGCCTCATTTGCCACCACACCATGCAGTTCCGCTGCTGCTCGGCAGGCTGGCTGTGAGAAGGGCCTGGGCAGAAAGCGCCGAGTGCCTCGGGCTTCATTTCCGAAGGCTGCCCCTTGTTGTTTGGCCCTGGACTTGTGTACACGTTTGTTTTGAAGTAATTCAGCCCTGGGAGTGTACCTAATTAACTTAAGCAGGGCTTATTAGTCCTGTTAACTACAACTCCTTCATCTATGGGGCCAAGTATGCAAAAGCCACCTTTAAGGTAGGATTAAGGCAAAGAGGAGCTGTTACAAATGGGATGGGGCTGCTCTCCTAAAGGTGCTGCAGGGCTGCGCTGTGAATTCCATCCCATCTGGCAGTCAGCCCTGTGCCAACATGTAGTAGGTTCTCTAAATATTTACAAGGTGGAGGCCTGGGTAGACACAGGAAACAGACGTCCCCACAGACAGGCCCCATCTGCTTGCCCCTTAGGCTGCACAGGGTAAATGCCCAAGGGTGCTGAGTGTGATGGGTGAACAAACCGATGGAGGGACCATTCTCTTAAGACCAAGGGGTACATGTCACTGCAGTAACCCCTTCTTCTCTTCCAGGTGACCCGTGCACCATGGCCGACTACGCCCGCCTGAAAAAGGTCCTTCTGGCGCTCCAGGCCCGCCTGCAGCCGCTCCAGGAAGGTGATGGCGTGCAAGACCCTGCCTCCCGGAAGCGCCTGCTGGTGGAATCTCTGTTTAAGGACTTGGATGCTGACGGTGATGGCCTCCTTGGCAGCTCTGAGCTGGCTCAGGTGAGTACACATCCCAGGAAAAGAAAATTGTAAGGGAATGCAGCATCCCACTGAGCAGGAGGTGAGGACAACCCGGGACAGCTACAGGAGGAAGACCCCTGTCCTGCAGGAGAGGCCGCCCTCCTGGAGCAGAGGGCCAGTGTACCCCGCCTCTGAGATACCCCCACCAGCCACCCCAGCCCGCGTGTGCACAGAAGCTTGAAGCACTCAGCTTTAGAGGGGCAGTTCTCTGCTCTTCATTAGGAAGTAATGCTTCTCTTCCTAGAGGCCCTCACTCGCAGCAGGATGGATAAAAGGAGAAAAGTAGGGTTTGGAGCTGTGACCTAGGCATCCCAAGTCCTCCGTCCTGCGATGCCCCCATTTGGTAGGATCCTAGCATAACTACCCAAACTCCAGCCTGGTTGCTAACAAGAATCCTGCATCCAACCCGAGCAGCCCTCTCCTTTTGGGAAGACGCCTGGGTTGGGCCCTGTTTGCCTCCCTCCCCAAACATAGCACCGTGTCCCTTTTTCCAGCTGTGAAGTAGAGCCAAGGCACCTAGTGTCTGCAGCAGAAAGGAGCGAAGGAGGAACTGCCTGGGCCACCAGCCATGCCAGTGAGGCCCATAGGCTCTGGGGCCAGAAAGGCAGGCCAGGTGGCCCGGAAGGGCCTGCACTCCTCTAAGGGTCTGGAGCACCCCCAGGCAAAGATATGCAAGGGGAGACAGCAGCCCCTAAACCAAGTAGAGTGGTGAGGTGGGGGCATCTCGTCTCAGGAGAGCACAGTGTCCCCCACAGATAGACAAGGCAGTGACCTTATCACCGTGGTGGCCAGGTTACTAGGAAGGGTTGGACTGAGGAGGGCCCTGGCGTTTACTAAACATCCACCTTGTGCTTAGTGGTAAGCAGGGCCCTTTACCTGTGATGGAACAACACAGAAGAGATCCTTGCTAGGTGGCATGTAGCTGGGAACACAGACTTCTTGGTCATACTGCCTGGGTTCGAGTCTCACCTCCAGCACTTACTAGCTAGTGGGTCTTGGGCCAACCTCACCTCTGTGACACAGTCTCCTATTGGTGACCCACAAGGTGTGTTCTCCATAGATGACTATGATCGACATCATTATCCTCATCTTTATTATAGTGATTGTGGTGATTTTATCTTAAAACCTTTCCAGCATTCTCTGCTGTGCAGTTGGTACTATAATCGCTAATTCACAGGCATTTTTAGAGGAGGAAATCAAGTTGCCTGAGGAGTGTTCACAGCAGAGGGTGCGGTGGAACTGAGGGGAGGCCCCGGTGGGCTGACGTGTGTGTCTGCTCTCCTCACGGCACAGAATGCCTCCCACGAGAAGGCTCCCCAGCCTGTGGCAATAGCAACCACCCACAAAACCTGAGCATGGAGTAGTCACCCAGAGGGCCTCTCCTCTGGCTGGGCAGTGCCAGCCCCCAGTGTGCTTGCTGGGAGCCACAAACATGAGGGGGCAGCACCCTGCTCTGCTCACTCATAGCAGGGCGACCTCTGCCCTCAGCTTCCTGCCGTGCCAGCCTGCACGACCCCACCTCCCGTGCTCAGCCCCCAGCTAGAGCTAAACCCCCCAAGGGACAGGACCAGGGACCCATGGAGGACCAGAGTCACTCTGGGAAAAGCCCTGCCCTACCACTTATTCCCTGCAGGAAGGCCACCTGGCGACTCCCCACAGTACAGGGTGCATGCGGGGAGTGCTGATGGCGGGAGGCCGAGCTTGCCCAGACAGAGGCAGCTGTGGCTCTTGGCACCCCAGGCCCAGGGGTTGCTGGGTAAACAGAGCAGAGCCTTCCTGGGCACATGGCTGTAACCTGGCAGACGTGCCCCGAGGCACCTGAAGCCATTAACAAGCGTGGTAATTGGACTATGATTTCCTCTTTAAAATTTAATGTACTTAAAATCCATTTCATAAATCTGCCAAGCACAGCCCAGCTAAAGTGGGCCTTTCTTTGACACTGAATCAAAGACGTCGAGGAAAAAATTGTCGGCCCTATGAAAAGTTAATCAATTTCCAATGCAGATATAGACAAAGGGAAATTTCCATCCTGGGAAGATTGATTTCCAGCGTTATGGTTGATCTCCCTTTTATCGACCACTCTCACTTGCTGGGTGAAGGGTCATTTTTTTTTTAACATTATAACATTAAATTGCCTTTAATATAGCAGGCCAAGTTGAGACTGTTAAATAAAGAAAAACTGCTTCTGTTCCTCTCCCCCCCCCCCAAAATAAATAAGTAAAATCATTTCCTTCTGAGCATTTTCTTTATAAGACTCTAATGCCAGACACACCAACCACTGACTCCAGCTGAGTGAGGTGCCTGGAATTTTTACTTTTAATCAACTTGCAGCCTAGGCTACATCATAGAGGGGTTCACACATGGCCCCCAGGCCAGAATCCCAAGGGCAGATATATTTGTCCCTGGTAGGACAGGGCAGGCAGAGACCGAGGGTCAGGCCTTGGTCAGTAGAATGGCAGCTGCCCTTTCCTGGGGGATGCACTGTGGCTAAGAGGTGCTGCACTGAGGCGGGTGAGGCTGGGGTGGGATGTGATTTGATGGAGCAGTGAAGCAGTGACCTTCCAATACAGCACAGCTGGAGCCAGGGACCTCAACTCCCACACTGAGTTCAGTGGCTACTTATTTACTGGGTGTACTTGAGCAGACCCCTCTGTTTTCTTCCCCGCCCATAGCATAAAGAAGTAGACCAGGTGGCCTCAGGGATCCCTCCTGTCTCAGGTTTCTGGACTCTGTCTGGCCAGGTGGGCAGAGTCCGGTCCTGAACTCGAATCCCAACTCTGCCCTATAAACCCTGTGTGACCTTGGGAAACTCCCTGTCCTTCTCTGAACTTCAGTTTTCTCCTCTATAAAATGAGGGGGTCAGACAGGCAAAAGCAAAGAGCTCCAGGTGCTCCCCAGGGCCCATGAGCTGTGCCTGGAATCCCACCCCTCGGGCGGAAAAGAGACCCCTTCCCCTCTTGGCCTGAGCCACCTCCCAGCGAGCCCACACTCAGCCTTGGCCTTGTTCGTCCCTCCTTCCCTGCAGCGCGAACTAAAGGAGCAGGACCTGGAGGAGGACTTCCTGGGGTGCTCGCCTGGTGACCTCCTCCGATTTGATGACTACAACAGTGACGGCTCCCTGACACTCCCCGAGTTCTACACAGCCTTTCGTAAGTCAGGCCTCGCCAGGTCCCCCGCACCCACACCCCACACCCACAGCCGCTTTGGGCAGGAATTCCTGCACCACAATGGGCTCAGGGTCTGAAGTCTGCTGTCTGAGTTCGGGTCATATATATATGTAAATATAGGTGAAGCCGCTGATTTTGTTTTGCAACAGGACTTAGCACTGAGCGCTGAGAGAAGGCGGGGTTCGGGGAGGGTGCAGGGAGACTTGCTTGAACCACTGCTTTTGGTAAAGGCTCTTCTCGCTGTCCTTGAGGTACCCAGGACTGAAATTTAAGCATGACTGGAAGGGCTCTGCCGGCACCCTGTGGGGATTTCATGACAGTATAGGATGGAGGGAGCAGATTTTAAGGTAATCCTAGTCTCTGGCCCAGGGATCCCTGCCTGAGGTAATTCCTGTTGGAGGGTTCAGAAGGCTTGGCAGAAGAGGGCATGGTCATTACCAAGGAGATGTGGTGGAATCCCTAGTGAAAAGAAAAGGGGGTGCTCTATCTGAAATGGGAGGTTCTCTGAGTGAGTCCTCAGTGGGGTGCTTACCGTGAATGGAGGGAATGACTTAGGGGCCCGGGTCTTTCCCTGAGTTACTCTTCCAAGAGTAACCGATGTCAACCATCAGCGGAGCTGGACAGGGTTTCGGCAGGGTCTCAGCTGCTGTGGCAGGTGTCTTTGTAGGTCAAGATGCTGATTCCCTGAAATAAATCTTTTAAGTTTTTGCTTGTGTGGAAGAATCAATAATTCCACCTGGCTCATGAGAACCAACTGTTAGATTTGGAGAAATTTTGCAAGGCAAATAGTAAAATAATGGATAGTTTTGAATCTGCCATGGTAGAAGTTTTTACACCACAGATATTCACACAATCGAATGCTACCAAGAAAGTGGGGATGGGAGGGACTGTTTTTCCTCAGGGAAGTGTTTGTTAAGCTTCGCACATCACTGGACAAGACCCTCCCTCCTGTCCTAAGCCATTCCCTCCTGCTGTATCCTCTCCACTCACCCTCCCCACACCAAGGCCTGGGGGTGATCTCATGGAACATGAACAAGAAAAGGGGGGCAAGGGTAGCGCAGATGATTGGGTGGCAGCCCCGGGGCAGGAAGCAGGAAGGCCGCAGCTTGTGTTCTGGGAACCACTCTGGGAGTTGGCCAGCCACTCTTTCTGAGGTCAAGCTCTCTTGCAAAAGTTGCTGTGAAATAAAAGGCCGGCACATTTTAAGAGCCAGGGACCAAGGCGGGGCTTCACCGATTTGGGGGATCCACAGGCGTCACAACTCATGAGTCCTGCAGTGGCATCCTTGAGTAGAAACAGGAGCTGCTTGGGTTCCCCAGTGTCCTGGCCCTGCAGAAGCTCCTGCTCGCGAAATCATTCCTGGGAGTAGGTCTGGGACCAAACAGGAAGCTATTGACTTCGGAGAAATGGAAGCATCCCTGTTGTTCATGAGGAAAGGGAGGGCCACCAGCCCCTGTTGAAGGTCCTTATAAACCTGAGCGGGGTGCAGGAGCGGGGCGTCACCACCTCCCTCCAGCACGTGCCTCCCGCGAGCAGTGTGGCTTCTGCTTCCTTCATTCCCAGACTACTTGAAAGGCTCATCATTGTCATTTTTAAAGCAAATTAGATTCTGCTGTTGCCTTGGACTAGAGCTGACCCAGAGGGCCAAACCATTCATCACAGCCTAGCCCAAATAATAAATATGCAATAAAATGTAAACTCGTGGCTGCTAAGGAAGCTGCAGGCTCTGAGGACCCGGCATGCACCCCTCTAACACATGGGATCAGTGGTTTTTCAAAATCAGAGCGACTCTAACCAGAGCCCCCCAGCGCCCTGGGAATGAATTTATGGTTCAGTTAATGTTGAACAGGTAATTGAGATGAGACATGTAGGTACAACTTATTACCCAGAAATCAATGAACATTTAAGAAATCTCACTAAAACTCAGAAAGTAATACCTCAAACATTTCAGCTACAACAGTTTGGATTTAATTTTAAAAACTAGAGCTGATAGCCTGACAAAGAAGGTGACTTTAAAATTGCATTTTCCAGTCTCTATTCTGCCAGGGTCCTTGGACATAAAGCAAGGTGGGCCTGCAGGTGGCTCCTAGTGTGGACTCAGTCACTTTATCCAGGCTGGGGCATTGTCCCTGGAGAAGTATGTTGTATTTATAAGCTTGGGCACTTGGGGGCTCGGGGATGGGGTGTTGGGAGGTAGTCTCCTGAATCAGGTCTTCTCTTGCAGCTGACCTAGTACAGGTCAGGCTGGAATCTGTGGCTGGTGGCTGCCGTGCACAGCTGAGCTGGTTTGGGGGTTCAAGGGGCAACACGGAACAGGTGGCCCCTCCCCTGGGAGTAGATCAGGGTCCCTGAGCCTATTTCTGACTGATTGATGGCACTAAAGCTCCCAGTCACCTGTCTCTGTACAGTGGTAGGAGCAAAATATGAGGGTGGCCTCCCTCTCTTCCTCCATTTGTCACTTAAATATTCTCTGCAAGTAGCTTTCAACTTTCCAAATTAGGGAACCGTGATCTCAGCGCAAAAGATCTCAGGCCTCTCAGCACGTACCCTCCATCCTCCCTCCCCGAGCCCCACCTGGCTGACTAGGAATCAGAGACCCAGGCCCCAGGCCCTGTCTGTTCATCACAATAGATTCATCTAAAAGTTGCTCGTTTAAAAAGCTTTTCAATAATGCATGTTTTCGCACTTTTCTGAATGCTTGGGCTGGGATCGTGGGAAAAACATGTTGCTTAAATGAGGATTTTTCTCCAGCTTTAAATTCATTACAGGTTTCTTCTGGTTTTTAGAAAGATACTTGTCCTTTTAATTAATCCTATGAGAGCAGCCCCAGCGAATGAGTTGGATGCAAAGCCAGGATTTACGCAGTTTGCAGTGCGCGGTAAAGGGCATCACTGGGTGATGTGCCAGGACCACGTTCTCAGTGACCTGGAGGAGGGGACCCTAGTCAGGAGGGTGTCTGGGGCTGGCTGTGTAGGAGTCAGTCCCCTCCCTCACCTCTGGCCTGTGAGCTCCAGGCAAGCAGAGAGCAAAGCAGTAGGTTAATCTGATTATTGCAATACTTCTGCATCCAGGGCCACTGTGAGGCAGAGGAAATGATCACCTAGTGACTTTGCAGCTGTTTTTCTGCCATCGTCACTGTGACATGAGAGGATGGAGCAGCTCCACCCTCCAGCCCTTGTCTTCTTGAGGGAATAATGCAAGGCCCACAGGACACTGCCGGGCCTGCAGCTCAGCCAGACCTCACAGCCCCCATGCTGAATGGGGTGGTGATATGCAACAGCAGCAGGCAGCCCCTGCTCCCACATCTCTGTGCCTCCTTATCCACGTGGGTAATACCTGACAGGAACGCCGCTTTATCCTAGTCCTTTTGCTTCGTGAGTTTGCGATCATGCACAGCCAGATTTCAGATAGCATTTCAGATAAATATTATCAAAAATTTTGTCTGAACCTCCTTGGCTCTTGAACTTGGAAAGCAAGCCATACCTGAGAACTGACTCCAGTTTAGGCCACGGCCAAGATCATCAGTATTATAATAAAGTAAAAATCAATATCAACAAGCAACTATAAACCAGAGACACACTACGGGGGGTGGGGGGTGGGAACTGTATGGAGAATATAACCAAGATGAAAATGCATACATTGTGCAAAAATGAAAAATGATGTAAAATATATATATATAATAAAATATAAATGAATTTAAAAATAAACGAGCAGGGGAAAAGCCCCACCCCTCTGGGTTCTTCTCTGAATGGCTAAGCAAACGAATTAACATCAGACAGATGAGTAGGGGGAAAAGACTAAATTTAATTACATACCTATAGAGATTTACATGGTTGTAAATTCTAGTGTAATTAGGACAAACTGGAGGCTTATATCCTGAGCTAAGGAATGGGGTAAAGGCCTGGGCCATCGAGGAGAGAGGAGGGGGTCTCACATGATAAGGAGATGATTTCAAATGACAAGACCCTGCCTCTGGAGGGATGCCCTGCCTTAAAATAGGTTTCTCTAGGAAAATAAAGAATGGTTATTCCTGGAGGTAACCCTAAATCTGGGTAATTTCATTCTTTGAGGAATGGTAACAGTTTCTCTTGAGACCCACATGGCCTTGACTGACCTTAGCTCTATCTGCCAAGGTGATACTTCTTGGGAAAAGCCTGTCTGAACATTTTTTAGGAGGCTGATATCAAAGACAGAAACAGGTTTATGCAGAACAGGCAAGTCTAGTAGCCAAAAAAACCTTTGCTTCATCACTTGCTGAAGGGTACAGAACATTTCAATTGGAGTAGCCAAAGGATGGATTAAAAACTGGAAGACCAATGCTGTGAGTTTCCCCTCGCACTCCCAAGGCCAGGTGGGGGTACTTCTCACGTTATGCTAGAGAGAGGGACTTCAAGGAAGTTTCCATGTGAGCTGGTTCTGTGCCCCTCAAGCCAGAGCCACTGTGCCATCTGAATGATTTAGCTTGTCATTGTCGCTTTAGCTACTAATGGGGTTTTAATACATGAGTTGTATAAAATGATAAGTAACATCCTGTGTCAGTACTGTGTGCTATGTCCCAATTTAACAGATGAAGAAACTGAAACTCAGAGAAGTTAAGTAGCTAACCCAAGGTCACACAGCCAACAGGTAGCCAAACTGAGATTGAACTCAAATGTCTGACTCCAAAAACTGCTCATACATTTAAACACAAGTGGAAACTCAGGGGGATTCTCCTGTGATGAGAATCCCACTGTCCTCACAGAGGGTTTCCCAAAATTGCAAGTCCCAGCTCAATGATCTTTCCTGCCAGGAAGTCTCCCTCCGTCCTCTACCAAGCCCCCACACTGTCCTCAGAACCCACAGGCCTGGTTCACCTCTCCAGTCACCAGACTGTGGCCTGGTGAGTGAGAACATGAATTGAATCAGACCTGGTTCAAACCTCGTTCTGCTGCTTACTAGCTGTGTGACCTTGGATGGCTCTTACCAGAGGTTAAGCCGGGCTT